CATGAGACAAAAGAGTAGATAATATGGGCACTGATGTTGGAATCCTAAATCTTCCAGAGAGAGAAATAAAGTCTGCAAACAGATTCTAAGCTGAGTCTAAGAAAGTCTGATGTGGCTCAGAGTGCTGAGGGATGCAGCAGGGCACTGAGGGATGCAGCAGAGAGGCATTTCATGGCACCCAGGGCTCAAGGGACAGGCTTAGAATCAAACCTGACAATCCCATAAGACAAACTAAGCAGGAAAGGTAGTAGGGGGTAGGAACAATGGGAACACTCCAGAGTTTAAGTTAGTGTGTTAGACTCATGCAGGAAAACCTGGAATCTGGTTGGTCAGAGGCTACAAAATGACTCTGGATTTCAATAACGTTAATTAATACAAGCATCCGAATTTTTATAACTTTCCTTTACTCTTTTGTGTGACTGTAATTGTGGATGTGAGTATGGATGTCAGAGAACAACTGGAAGGAGTTGTTGGTTCTCTTCTTCCACCATTTGGGCTCCAACTATTAAACTCAGGTTTGGCGGCAAGCATCATAACCTACTAAGCCTTCTCGACAACCCCAGAAGCAGATGATTTGTAATGTAAGTATGAAATTTATCTGTAATTATTGTGCTGGTTACTCTTTTGTCAACAAGCTAGGGTCACCTTGGAAGAGGTTAACCTCAGGTGAGAAAATGCCTCCCTAAGATTGGCCTGTATGGAAGTCTGTGGAGTAGTTTCTGGAGAAAATAACTTTCTCTTTAAATTTTATGTGTCCATGTCTGTGTGTGTATGCCACATGTGCAGGTCTCTTTGCAGGAGCCAGGAGAGAATGTGGGGTTCCTTGGACCTGGTGTTACAGGTGTTATTCTTTTGTTTAAAGTAAAAATAAAGAAGAAGAAGGGGCACAAGATGAGACACAGGATGAGACATATTAGACATATTAACCAGTTTATTATAGGCCCAGCAGAGTAGGGAAACTAAGAGAGAAGAGAAACAGGGTAAATGAATGACCGCCATGGCCAGTTGCCATAGAGAGAGAGAGAGAGAGAGAGAGAGAGAGAGAGAGAGAGAGAGAGAGAAGCAGAAGAGAAGAGGAGAAGAGTAGAGAGTGTAGAGAGCAGAGAGAGAGAGAGAGAGAGAGAGAGAGAGAGAGAAGCAGAAGAGAAGAGAAGAGTAGAGAGTGTAGAGAGAGAAATGTAGAGAGAAGAGTAGAGAGAGAATAGAGAGAGAGAGTAGAGCGAGTGTAGACAGAGAAATGTAGAGAGAGTAAATAGGCAGGGATCTGTCTTTTAAAAGGATCCTCTGCACCTGTGTGCTGACTTAGTTCCCATGGAACCCTGGGCTGACCAGGGTACTGCCTGTTCCGCCAGGTAACAGGGGCAGGCCAACATAATGCTTGAACCTTTCAACAGGCAACTGTGAACTGCCTGATGTGGTGCTGGGAACTGAACTCAGTTCAACTGGACAAACTAGAAGTAACTTTTTAAAGCTCATTTTCATTTTTGCAGTTCTGGGGGTTAAACCCAGGCATTACTCATACAAGGCAAGTGTCCTACCATTTTATTGCTTTTATCTTGAGGCAGGGTCTGACTTGGTTGCCCATGCTGTTCTTGAACTTCTGATCTTAAACCTCTCAGATATCTGGGATTACAGGCATGTATCACCATGCCATGGAGTTTTAAAAGGTACATTATTCTTAACTATTACTAAGGCTCAGGTTTCCTCAATTCTAAGATGTAATTTTTCTGCATGTCAATATTTCCAAAATCAGAAAATCTAAAAACTAGTAGGTGTAACTAATGAAGCACTATTGAATTCTTTGTGTTGAGTGGGCTAGGCCTAAACACAAGTTCCAGCAATCCTCCCTTCTCAGCCTCTAGAATAGCCAGATTGGAGGTATATTCCACAGCACCTAGCTAAATGATGTAATTTATAATTGATATCATCTTAAAATTAAGGAATGTGGAGATTAAAAATGACAACTGGCCATCAGGACCCAACTCTTCAATGGTCATGGTCCCTGGGGTGTCTGAGTTTTGGGGAATTCCATAGATCTGACCATGGTGTGGTAGACATAGTAAAGTCTGACAATATCCAGGTGAACTCAGTGAGCTCCAGTTTCTGTCTCAGTTGTGTCCCTCCTGTCATCACAAGTCATGTGTGTATGAAACTCAGGGATGCAACACAGCACGTGCGCGCGCGCACACACACACACACACACACACACACACTATAGAATAATCCTTTTGAACACTGTGAAGATTTGTCACTCAGATTGATTTAATGAAAAGCTAATTGGTTGGTAGCCAGGCAGGAATTATAGGAGGGACAACCAAACTAGGAGGATGATGGGAGAATAAGGGTAAGTCAGAGGAGATGTCAGCCAGCCACCGAGGAAGCAGGGTGTGTTGAAAAGAGGTAACAAGCCAAGAGCCACGTGGGAAAACATAGATAAGAAATATGAGTTAATTTAAATGTAAGAGTTAGGTAATAACAAGCCTGAGCTATTGGCCAGGCACTTATAATTTATACTGTCTATGAGTCAGTTATTTGGGAAGCAGCTGGATATCTGGGAGCAGGGTGGTCAGGACAGGAAAACTCTTGACAACACACATATGATAAACCTGGGATTTATCAAAGGAAACCAAATAGTTAAATGTACACTAAATGCCAGAGGTCAAAGGAGAGTTTCTTGAAGCTTATTAAGTCCCAGAGCTTAACTAGCCTTAAAACAATCTTTTTTTTTTTTTTTTTTTTTTTTTTGGTGTATGTGTGCATATGCTTGTGGGAAATGTGTGCTACAGATATGTGTGGAAATCAATTTTCTCCCTTCACTGTGATTTGAATCAGGGTCTCTGATTCATTTCTCTCCCACCTTCCAGTCCCAGAATACCTTCAGAGGCTTAATATTAATTAAGGTCTATTAGCTCAGGCTTATTATTAACTAGCTCTTACAATTACATTAACCCATTTCTATTAGTCTGTATATCGACACAAGACTCATGGCTTGTTACCTCACATTTTGCTTCTCTGGCAGCTGCTGGTGTCTTTCTGTATCTCTGTTTGGATTTCCTGCCTAGATATATTCTGCCTGGTTATTGGCCAAATCAGCTTCTTTAATAGTCATTGGTAGCATACAGAGGAGCATCCCAAATCAGTCTCTCTTATTCTGCTACTGCATTGGTACCGTAGGCTAGCTCATCTAGAGCTTCTGGAAATTCATGGGGCTCTGCCTCCCATATTGCTATAGGAGTACTGGGTTATACATCTGGCTTTTTCCATGGGTGCCAGGGATGGAACTCAGATCAGCAGGCTTGCATACCAAGCACTTTCAACAACTGAACCAGTGACTTGTCTTTTGATGGCACCTGATATTTACTATTATCCTTTTGATCTGCCCCAGGTTTAAACATCTCACATAACACATCCAACAGTCCTGGCTTACAGGGAGTAGGTACAGTACTCTCAGGGCTCCAGATAACACCAAGCCAAAAGACTTCACTATGAGCTCCAGAGCAGCTGTTTGGAAACAAGAGAAAAGTCATTATACAAATTAATCCATTTGCAACTATTCAGTCTTAAAGAGATAAAGCCAGATACCTGGTAAATAAATGAAGCAATGAACTGCTTATTCTTGGAGATGGAACCACCCTCTTCAGTGCTAGACAACTGGGCCAAAGGATGACCATCTGGCCTCTGTGGTCACACAGCCCACTTACTACAGAAAACTGAGAGCTGGGCACATGTGTCTTGTTCAATCACAAACCAAATCTGGCATATATGAGATGCTCCCAGTGCCATACTGAAGACACAGAGGCTTATAAAGGGGATCTCATCAAGGCCACATGCCAAGAAGTGTTCCTCAGTACAGAAATAGGGGTTAATCACTATCCTGCCTTTTGCTACCAACCCCTTTCACAAAGAGATAAACTTATAGCACAGGTTAAGACATCTGAGTGATTCCATACCATCAGCAGACAACTGCAGCTGGTGAGAAGGGTAAAGGACAGTGCCTGATGACGGATCAGGTCAATACCTAGAATCCACATGGTAGAGAAAACAGAATCTCACAAGTTATCCTCTGACTTGCACATGGTTTCTGTGGCATACATGGGTACACATGGGCACACATACAATATATCAATTTGTAAATAAAATGATAATAATAAAGACAACTGGAAAAAATACTGAAAAAAATAAAGATTTAATAATAAAACAGCACTTACAATCTTTTTATTTTTACAGTGCTTTAATATCAATTTACCCCATCATCTTCAGATCCAATGTTTAAATTAATTATGTATCATACTTTTTATTGAACGAGTCTGGGCATGTCCAACCTTTGGACATTGTAACAAGACATCATCTATGAAATTCCACTCAAGGACTATGTGATTGAGTTATGAAAAAAGCCACACAAAGTCTCATATGTTTTAAATATGTTTATGATTCTGTGCTGGGCCACATTCATAGCTATCCTGGGGCATACATTGTTAGCATTCAGGTATCTATACTGGCCTGCCCTTGGGGTTCTGACAGAATATATCCTCAGCTGCAGCCACTAAGAGCACCTCCCGTGCACATTCACTATGTTCCCTTTTAAAAGGGCCCTCCCTCGCCCCCTCACCCTCTCTCGCCCTCTCCCTCTCTCTCTCTCTCTCTCTCTCTCTCTCTCTCTCTCTCTCTCTCTCTGCTTCTCTGCCTGTTTCTGTGCCCCCCCACACACACACCTCTGCCTCTCTTCTCTTCTGCTGTTCCTGTCCCCAGAGGTTGGTCTCCCTCCTCCCTTCCCCTTTTCCCCATTCCCTTTGCTCTAATAAAAAGCCCCTAAATGTGAACGTGATTTCTGTCCCATGGCCTCTCTCTCTCTCTCTCTCTCTCTCTCTCTCTCTCTCTCTCTCTCTCTCTCCACCTTTTAAATTACAGCACAGGTGGCCCAGGGGCTGGATGTGCCTTAATGTAATGCTTAATCATTTAACAAAATAATTTCATTTCTAAATTAAAACAAAAGCCTGACATGAGGAAAACTAAAGATTTTCATTTGCATTAATATCTAGTATTGTATGTAAACACAGGCTGCATGTCCATTTTTTAGACAAAAGAAGCCAAAACAAAGACTGGTGGGATTTAAAGAGTGGAAAAAGCATGTACAGCCAAGAACCAGCTCAAGGCAGAAAGCTCCCAGGTCTGCAGAGGCAGCTGAAAGGACTTGAAGCCAACAAATGCCACTTGCCTATTACTGAACTCAGGAAGGTGCACACCTTTGAAAGCAGCTGGATTTAAGTCCAGTGTGGCACTTGGAGAAAATGGCATCAAAGGTTGAACTATAAATCTTCCTTATTCTCAAGTCACTGGACATTTAAGAGCAAGGATATTGATGGGCCCTTTCCCTCTTCTTCTTTCTTCTTGGAGCAGATGTGTGATTCATGGATTGTCCTTTAGTGGCTCCGTTTTTATCTTATTACTTTTTCTTTGCTTCTGCTTTCTGACAGCTCTGAAAAGCAAGGTGCTAAATTATTTTATGGAATGAGCACAGTGAATTATGTAATCACATTGAAGTTAATTAACTGGCTAACCAAATAGGGAAATAGAAGACACAAAAGAATTTATGTGTAGGAAGCATAAATCCTCAGTGTCCTAACCATGACGACAAGGAAATAGACAGAGGCCTGACCAAGCAAAATGTTCCTGAAGACATTTCTTTAAAAGATGGTTACTACAGATTTAGAACAAGCTATTCAGGACAGACACGCCACAGAAGTGAGCAGCCACACCAATGGGCTTGTCTCTTTGCTACATATATACTGCTCAACTCAGCACTTCCATTTCCAAATCCCTGAATTACATTTTTTTCTTTTTTTAGAAATGGATTAATACATGCGGCAGTCAGCATGGGCAGCAAAATGAAACAGCAAAACAGGAAAAGAAAAACTGACCACACTAAAGAAGGCCCATCCCTAAAGCCCCACAGCTAGCCTTCCTCTCCCTCATATGTTTAAAGGTGCCAGAAAGCCCTCAAAGGATGCCCAGTTTTTGTATCCCACGCTTTTTGAAAACAAGTCTCTAAATGAACACGCCACAGCAGACAGAACAGATCCTCTGCTCTGCTGGTCTCAGAACCAAGATACAGACTCCAAAGGCAAGATGACTGGCTGTTTATTCATTTCTCCACACTAGCAGAATCATGCCATTTACCCTATAGAGGATTGGGCTGGCACTGGGCATTACCTGGAAATGGCCTGACTACCTAGAAACATCAGTTTTTCAGAGTCAGTAGCAACAACCCTCATAACAAGCAAGGCCCTTTTTGGTCTTCCCAGAACAAAACCTTGGTAAAGAGTTTCCTGAACAATAGACTACCCCTGAGTTGGTCAAACCTGGGCCTCACTTCTTGTTCACTCAGTATAGTATGTATCAGGTGTGGGGAATATGAAAACAAGTGGGCATAGGCCTAAAATTCAATGAACTAGGAAACTGAGCAAGGGAGATGTCTCTCTTTCCCCTAATGTTTCTCAGGTGAAAAACTTGAGGCTCTGAAGTCCTAGATTCATCCAAGGAGAAAGTGGTGGGGCCAGCCTGACTCTAGAATCTCTTTTCATACTCATCTGACAGTGACCACTCAACTAGTAAAATGCCAACCCCACAGGATCATTGATAAGCACCAGCTGTTAGCAGTTTCTTGGCCATTCAGCAGAACTCTGCTTGGTGACTTACATCTTCAATATTTTGTGCTATGGGCTGGGAATACCCGCCCCCAAATCTCACTTCTTATTATTTCTTTGCATGTTACACAAACCTCTTTTTCAACCAGTCATTTTCTTAAAGTAGGATGATTTCCTGATAAGTAAGGACTTAGAAAATTTAATGAAGTCAAGCATAATCTCTAATAGAAAACTCAATGAAGCCATGTGTCTCTATTTAAATTTTAAATTTCTCTTTGGTTCATCACATAAGCAGGATTAAAAATGAACCAGATTTCACCAGGGAATAAGCAGAAGGAAAAGAATTTAAAATCATTCACTTGTAATGTAAATAAACAAAACTTTCAAAAGCTAAGTATGTGCATGCTGGTGAACTGCCTGAGTAAAATTTATCATTTTAGTTTTCCTTAAAATTATACTGACCTAGCATTTGTCCTCTAACCTCCAGGATTATGTAACTGACAGAATGAGCTTTCACCACAAGAGGGAGCCAGCATCATTTTAGTTCACATCCACAGGAAAATTTAACCATAGAAAAACAAAATATAAAAGTCAGCCGTAAAATGCTTAGGACTGAAAGATATTGCATACCATGGTACGCTCAAGTATATATTAAAACAATTGGTATTTATAAAGAAAGGACATTTTCTCAGGGCTGGAAATGTGGCCCAGTAGTTAAGAGGACCTGATGCTTTTGCAGAGCACCCAGGTTTGAGTCCCAGCACCCAGGTGGCAGCTATAAGCATCTGTGACTCTTAACTCCAGGGCATCTTCTGGCCTCTTTCAGACACCATGCAGGCACATAGTGCACATACACATGTGCAGTAAGTATTTCAGTCAATTTCATTATGCAGGTTCGGTTTGGTTTGGTTTTGAGTGGGAAGGCAGTAACAGAGCCTAAAAGAGTTCTTGGACTGAAGAAAGCAAATACTTCCTAAGGATAACCATGGTATACTGAAACACAAAGGATTTATCCTTTGAATAAAAGTTGATAGAATCCAATGCTGAAAGATTGTGATTCCCCCCCCCAAACAGAATGCCACTAAACACTACAACCAATTATGTAGCACTCGTGTGATATATAGACATACATGCAGGCAAATCACCCAAACACAGTCAAAATAAAAATATATCTTTAAGGCTGGGCAGTGGTCACACACGCCTTTAATCCCAGCACTCGGGAGGTAGAGGCAGGTGGATCTCTGTGAGTTCAAGACCAGCCTGGTTACAAGCGCTAGTTCCAGGACAGCCTCCAAAGCCACTGAGAGAAATCCCTCGAAACACACACACACACACACACACACACACACACACACACACACACACACACACACACACACACACACACACACGAGGGGGCATTCACTTGCATAACCCAGTTGGTATATATAGAAGTAGTTTTTTCTAAACATGCTATAATTACTAGAATTTTGTTGTTGTTGTTTTGCAACAGGGTTTCTGTGTGTGACAGCCATGGCTGTCCATGAACTCGCTCTGTAGACCAGACTGGTCTCTAACTCATAGAGATCCACCTGCTCTGCCTCTGCCTCTACCTCCCAAGTGCTGGGATTAAAGGCATGCACCACCACCGACCTGCAACTGGAATAATTTTACTGAGTTATCAATGCCAAATGTTGGTGGGGGATGTGAAAACAATCATGGGGGGAAAAAATAACAATTTAAATAAGTAAAAGCATGTGTATAAGTTCTGAAAGCTGATGGAATTTACAGAACTAACTAATACTAATATAAATAATGTTTCCTTCATTATGTAAATGGTGGGGGGAAAAAATAACAATTTAAATAAGTAAAAGCATGTGTATAAGTTCTAAAAGCTGATGGAATTTACAGAACTAACTAGTACTAATATAAATAATGTTTCCTTCATTATGTAAATGGCTAGTTTGCTTAGTTCATTTTAATTTGACTGAAGAGATCAGGCTGTAGTGTTTGAATTCCACATAAAATGGTAACTCCTGTTATATTACATCAAATTCAGCTCTTTGCTGCTTTGCAATTCACATCTGAAATGCCTTCATCATTCCCCTCCTGCCACCAGGTGTCTGCCCCTGGTCTTTCCATACAGCCTGACCTGAGGATCGTCTCCTTCGGTGAAGTCTGAACTTTCACCTTAAAATTACCATTCTCATATGAGCCACAGAAGATGTAAAGTCACCCACTTCCTCCTGGGGTTTTGGCTGTCTTGTATCTACCCTGTCGCGCCTGGGCTCCTTGAAGCATGTTCTTTGCTTGCCTTAGTGTCTTCCCCCGCAATCCAGGTAATAACACATAATGGTGAGAGTGACGACTATCACTGAGTCCTCTGAAAGCTCCGCACTTCTGTAGATTGCTCCTAGAAAGCTTGACACCAGCAATCTTTTTTTTTTTTTTCTAGAGAGTAAAAGAATTCAACTAACTTGTTAGGTCTCTTAGAGATGCCAATGTTGGGACAATTGCTGCGTTTGTGATCCAATGCACCACAAATAAAGCAGCCATCTTTAGGGCCCGCACAGGAATGATCTGGGAGTGCACAGCGATTGCAGGTGCTACAATGGGTCCAGGCTGTAAACAAAAAATTGGGTTTCAGAAGAGGTTCATTTAACATGATTTTTCATTTCATTAACTTCTGAGGTAGGTTCTATAAATAATGTTTACTTCAAATATTGTGGCTGGTGGGCTTAGCTCACTTTAATTTGGCTAAAGAGATCAAGGTGAAGTGTTTGAATCCCACATGAACCGGTAAGTTTTGTTTTAATGCAAACAAATTCAGCCCTTGCCCAATACATCATGACCTGATAGTCACTGCCACAATTGAGGCTGGCTGAGAGGCACAGTGCCTGATTGAAGTAAGAGAGCCAGATGCCACACTGACATAGGCTAGCAGTCAGCTCTCCCTATGAAAGATGCATGTCAGTAATTACAAAAGTCAATGTCAGTCTCTACATTATTTTCCATCATGAATATAATAAAAGTCTTATTTACATGAATGGAACTAAAAATGTTTTCTGAGGATCTCGAACACTTACAAGGCTTCACACACTTTTTGCAGAGAAAGCAATGGCTCCATTTCCTGCCATCCTACAAAAACAAATTTTAAAATGTTCAATTTGTTATAAAAGCCAAGTTCCACAATTAAAAATTAAAATGCCTTATTAAAATATGTGTAAATTATTCATTCCATATTTCTTCCTTTCCTGGGCTTCACAATTAAATACTTTGATTTTAATTTATGCATTTCTCCACTTAACTCAAATGCCTCCTTGATGGGCCTCAATTTCCTTAACTATGAAACTAGATTTATCCAAATGATCTTGAAAATCCACTCTGCTTCAAGCCATCCAATCTTCACAAAGAAGGACCCAAATGAAAATTTCAAGAGAATTAATGATTCCATAATTTTATGTTCTCTATACTACATAGCCCTTAATGAAATTCATATTTGAGAGCTTCATGTAATTTAGAAAGAGAAAGTACAGGTTACTTCTTGAGTAATTTTTTTTAAACGTGAAGTAAAACATACCTAGAAAAGTACACTCAACATATATGCATGCACTTTACAAATATTAAAGCAATTGCCTGTCAAGAATTGGGGCCTCCTGAGCCCCTAGAAACCTGGCATGGCCTCACACCACAGCCTTCCTCCTTCCCACTGGACAGCACCGGCTCTGATTTTTGTGACCTTTGTTTCCCTATTATTATTTTTACCATCCATGTACACATTGCTAAGTAAATTTTTTCCCCTCAATTTTAAACTTTATAAACCTGGACTTAATACAGACCATTATAAACCAAGTGAAAATAGTTATTTGAACCGAAGCTTTTCTTTGGAAAATAATTTGTGCTGTTTAGAAAAGCTAAACTTGATATGTTCTTTCTGACTAGACAGTAAAAATGCACAAAGTAGCTGAAAAGTCATCCTATCTCCTTAAAAAATAAGCAGGAAGCTTATTCATTATTGTTCAAAGTTGGGAGCAAGCAAGAGGTCCTTCAGTCAGTGCACAGTTACAAACTGTGATACACCAGACAATGGGAAGTCATTAACAAGAACAAGCCATTTAGCCACGGGAAGACAGGAGCTTTAAATGGACATTTCAGATGAGAAGCCAGCCTGAAAAGCAGTTACACATGCTGTGTGACTCCAATACTATGACTTTCTGGAAAAGGTAAAACTATAGACAGTAAGATCAGTTGCTCAAGGTTAGGGAAGGGAAGGGTGACAAAGCAGTGCACAGAAGATTTTCAGGGAACACAGTGAAGTCACTCTATATGACCCCACAGTGGCAGAAGCAGGTCAGTAGATATTCATCTAACTCAAAGAACACACAGCACCAAAAATGAACCTCATGGACCTGGGGGTTAAGGATAAGTGGGTTCATCAACCGTCACACAAGGTATACTCCAGTCCCAGACACTAATGAAAAAAGGCTATGCACGAGAATGGGGATAGGAAGTCTATACAAATCGAAGTACCTTCCGCTTCACTGGGCAGCAAATCTAAAATGCTTTCAAAAGCAAAGGCTCTTGGGAGAAACACAAGAGCTAAACCCATAAACAGAAGACAAGTCTCTTGTTCTGCAGCAGCTGCAAGAGAGCAATGAGTAACCACCCCTGTTTCTTGAGGGCTATTCTGAGTACTAAATGTGTTAACCCATGCAAGGCTCTTAGGAACAAGCCTAGCACATAAAAAGTGCATGGTACATGTTACTAATCATTACTTCATCAGAACAGCAATGGTACCTAATGGTCCAATGCCTGATTTGAAACATCATAATTTTACCCTTAACAGATATATAAATTCAGCACTAAGTGCCTTATTGGAAACACTCTTGGTAAGTACCATATGAAAATGATTGAAATAGCTATTTACAATGATGAAAGAAATTAAGTACTTTAAAAAGGCCTGTTTTAGGGCTGGAGAGATGGCTCAGTAGTAAAGGCATTCATTACAAAGCCTGATGACCTGAATTTGATTCATGGGACTCACATAGTGGAAAAAGAGAACCTCCTCCAAGTAGTCCCTGACCTCCTATACACGACTCACATAGTGGAAAAAGAGAACCTCCTCCAAGTAGTCCCTGACCTCCACATGTGTGCTGTGCACACATGTGCCTATACACATACACCTTCCACACACAGGAATTTTTTAAGCCTACTAAGTCTATAATTAAAAATAAGGTACTACTATATTAAGATATGGAAGGTGATAATACACATGAATTCAAGTATTAACAAAACTGGTTGTTTGTTTGTTTTTGTTTTTCCAGACAGGCTTTCTCTGTGTAACAGCTTTGCCATCCTAGAACTCACTCTGTAGACCAGACTGGCTTTGAACTCAGAGATCCGCCTGCCTCTGCTTCCCGAGTGCTGGGACCAAAGACATGTACCACCACTGGCAGGCAGCAAAACATTTTAAGAGTAATAAAACTATCAAACTAATATATAACAAACACTTTCATAAAAATGTACTATGTAAGACAGCTATACCTTGGATGTGCAAGAATTACAATGCACACAGTGCTGATTCTCAAGAGAAACATATCTCTGGCAGAGGGAACAAAATCTAAAGAGAAAAACAGGGAAATTAACTGCATGAATTGAATTCATTGTGATTCACAGAACAGACAAACACGAACAAGGAACTTGCTTCAAAAATTGGAGGTAATCAGAATTCAATTCAATGTGAAATTATGGACCAAATCTAAGAGCAATACAAGAACCACATGATTCAATATTGAATGCATTTTACTAGTAGGTACATAGAATCGAATTTTCAGTGAAGTTCAAAGTGGTCTCACCTGTATCCTTCTTCTGTAGGAAGGATTATTTTGTTGGGTGGAATGTTGGTGAAAATCCGCACAGGAGACTGTTTTCGACCTGTCTTTCCATGTTTGTAAAGTGTGTGATTATCATAATCTACCTAGAAAGTAAAAAGAAAATTCACTCAAATGAGTCAACATTCTCTAAGCCCCTTTAACCAATAAACAAACAAACTGATGCCAAGATATAGGCTGAAGCAAGTAGTGAATAAGAAACTCCCAATTGCAAGTTTACTCACAGCCAACCTCCAAAGGCCTGAATGGCAATGGAATCACATTACAAGGTAAGATGTGTTATGACATCTTACCATAAGAAAGTCTGTTTTGTAATTAAGAGCTTTACTTCTGATGTTAAAAGCAAGGCCTTTGTTTGAAGATGTATGCTAATGTACTGAGATGTTTCACTTCCTTGGGGGAACTTTTGTCATTCACCAAGTGCTTCCTCGGTCTGTCCTCTTACCTTCCAATGCAACAGTGGTTAGGGGTTAGACGATGACTGTCACTTACTTGTTAGATGACCTCAGACAACCTTGTGGATGTTTTTAAACTGTAAAAGGAGGTCACAGATGCTGACCTTAAGAGATGCTGTGAGAGTCAACACTTAGTCCAGAGTCTGGCATAAGGTGGGAGGAAGATGGAGACCACCTGTGAGTCCACCTGGGCTTCTGCTCCCCACAAACACTGGCCTCCCCTCCACATCCGAACTTGTCATGTCCCCTGATAATCTTGACAGAGAGGCAACAAGCACTGTTTTATACTCAAGTCTAATTCCCGGTCCTCCTTTAGCCTGTTACCCACACATGTTCTCACTTTGGTTTCTGGTCTACCTGGCTACTAAATCTGTTTTTCTTTAGCTCAGTAATACTCAAAGTGTTTGAGCAACACCAACAGAACCTGGGTTCCTGTTAGAAATGCAAATGTTTTACAAGTCTAGCACCTACTGCATCAGAAACTTTGGGAGTAGAGAATGGCAGTTGGTTTTAGAAAGTCTTCCCTGCACACTGAAGCTTGAGAAGCACTGCTTTAGATCACCCCCAAGAATGCCATGATGGTTACAAACTCAGGAAAGGTGGATCCCAACTTCCCCATAAGCTGTAATGAACTGTTTTGATTAGAAACAAGGATACAGTTAGGAAGCAGTGAAGCACAAATATGGAGGGAAACCATGACAGGGGGACAGGTGTTCTTTAATAAATGTATTCTTAGATTATTCATGCATGTATACAATGTATCTTGATCATATTCTATTTAAAGGGAAACTCCCTTTTCCATTCCCTCTGACCCTACCCCAATGCTTCCTCCTCCCATTTTCATGTCCTTTAAATACACACACACACACACACACACACACACACACACACACACACACACACACACACACACACCCTTCTGAGTCCAATTAAAACTACCTGCATGTGCATAAGTGTTCAGTCATCATTCAGCATGGACAATCTACCAGCAACTACACTAGAAGAAAAATGACTCCCATCCTCCAACAGCCATCAGTTGCCAATAGCTCCTCAGCTAAGGATAGCTCCTCACCAGCCAGTCTCCCTCCATCCATGGTAGGATGCTGACAGGTCTTGTACAGCTAATCATGATTGTTGTGAGTTCGTGAATGCTTTGGTCATGTCATGTCCAGAAAAACAGCACTTCATAGCACTCCTCCCATCCTCAGTCTCTCACATTCTTTTACTCCTTCTCCCATGGTGTTTCCTGAGCACTGGTTAAGGATGTTGATATACACATCCCACTTCAAGGGACCCAGGGGGAGTTAGAGAGGAAAAGTGCAGGAGTGGTTATGACCCAAATACATCGTACAAGATTCTCAGAATAATTTTTAAAATTACACATAAAGTTCCATTTAGAGAGCACTGCCTCAGAGGTCCCATGGATCTGTGTCTTGCCTCAATAGTGTTTGGACAGAACAGACCCTGGACTCCCTGTTAGCTTCTAGCCGCCTTTCAGTCTTTCCAGTTGCCTTTAGACCATCTTGGCACCACCTTCAGCTCCTAGGACCTGCCAGCACCGTCTCTTTGTAGTTACCACCATATTTCGGATCTGTCATATTCTCCCAGAGTCATCAGAATTATCCTGAAATGGAAGCTGCCGTGAACCACCTGGTCAACTTGCACCCACGGGCTTCCTACACCTTCCTCTCTCTGGGCTACTATTTTGATCAGGATGACAAGGTTCTGAAGGGCATAGGTCACTTCTTCCACAAACTGGCCAAGGAAAAGGGCGAGGACACCTCCTCAAGTTGCAGAACAATCATGGGGGTACACATTTCCAAGATATACAGCAGCCATCTCAAGATGAGTGGGGTAAAGGCCAGGAGGCCATGGAAGCTGCCTTGGCCCTGGAGAAGAACCTGAACCAGGCATTTTTGGATCTTCATTCCCTGGGTTCTGCCCACACAGACCCTCATCTCTGTGACTTATTGGAAAACCACTTCCTAGATGAGGAGGTGAAGCTCATCAAGAAGATAAGCAAGCACCTGAGCAACCTTCGTAGGCTGGCTGGACCACAGCCAATGTAGACTGGCATGCCTCAGCCATCTCTGGGCAAGTGTGTCTTAGAGTGGCTCACTCTCAATGACTAGGCTGCCTCGCCTTCCAAGGGGCTCCCTCCTCTGCTCTGCACCAGCCAGACTCAGGACCTCCACCCGAACCTCTCTCACGCCACTAGGCAGCTTGGTAACCACCCTGGAGGCCCCAAGT